AGAATTAGAAGAAACCAAAGAAGCCTTCTCTTCTGCATGTGCTCCCAATGCCCCTGGATCAGCCTCCACGAAGCCCTTCTCCCCTATGGCTTCATGCCCATGGTCACCAACACCACCAGAATCCTTGAATGTATTGTCTGCATCATTCATACTCAGATTAGAAAATGCCTTGGCATCGTCAGAATCATTTCCATCGAGGAATTTGGATCCTGAATCATCGCCCTCCACATACTCATCTTCCACCAATTTATCAAAGAATTCTTCATCTGTTTGATCCTCCACCTGAAATGGAGGAGGATTGGGAGCCATCTTTTAAACCCTAAATACGCCCCCCCAAATTCACACCAAACCCGAAGAACAAATCCGAATTCTCACCTCAACCAATTCGATTACAGCTAAAGCCGCAACATAGACCGAGAGATCCAGCCCTAATCGATCAAATGCACCTCAATACCACTTCCCCCAACTACGCAAGCTCTAATCCAATACATCCAACCCTAAAACGAGCAAGATCCGTCTACTCTGAAACCTCTCCAATCAAGCAACGAGAAATCAACTAACAAGGATTACCAAAATCAAAAAGAAACACACACACACACACACACACACACACACACAATTCTAAACATACACTAAAATTCAACGCATTGTGCGCAGCGAAAAGCCATGAATTCTAGCACAAGAGACAATAACTTACAGATCTACAGAAGGATTTGCAACGAAATGTCACAGAGAGAGAAGAAAAAAAAAATTAAAAATAAATAAAGAAAAATAATAATAATAATAATAATAAGAAAGAAAGAAAAAAAACCCCTGAAATAAGCACCACCCACCCAATGAGCTTCGTTTTTTTTTTTAATTATTAATCTCTAAAATATATATTTTATTTTTATTATTTTCGTATTATGTGATTTTATTTTCTTTTTTATTATTAATTAATTGGAATTAATAATAGGTGTGTTTAGTAATGTTATCCTGTTTCTTATTTCTTATTTTAAAAATATTTTTTTAAGAATTATTTTAGAGATAAATTATCTAAAATGACTTTTGTATTAATAAATAGTCATTTTTACTAAGAAATAAAAAAAAAAAAAAAAAAAAA